CCTAAATTCGGCAAGGTAGACGGGTATGTGTTTGCACAACGGCGTTTGCATCGCAGCTGCAGAGTTGCATGGCCGGAGAGACGGAGCAGGGACCATCTTAGCTCTTGGTGATTCGACGTCATTGCAAGAGGCGACCAAACACTTCGAAATTGCGACCCGTCCAGTCTTGTCGGGCAAACAGGGCAAGTGGATGAGAGCTCGTGTTCTTGTCAGCCTTGAGAGACGTAAACGGAAGAGGCTCACTTGGAAACCGGCCGGCTTCCTGCAATTCGACAACCTCTCCTTGTTTCAGCCACCATCGGCGGCTCGGCATCGCGTTTGCTTGCAGCAGCCGTTGAACCGTGGCTGCACCTTTCCAGCCATTGGCACGCCCCTGGACTTGTCGATGTGGGGGGACTCCAGCTGGAGGGCTTCCCGGAAAACAGATTGAGGGGGGAGCGATGCTTCCCGTCGGCCTGCTCCCGGAATTTCCGGCGTCGTCAGATCCAAACACGAGGCTGGTAGAGAGACATATTGAGTCAGCCACCGCGAAGAGAAGTAGCGAGTCTTTCTCTGCTGGCGTTGGGCGTGGAATTGGAAAGATAGGTACTTACTGTCTCGGGCTCACGCGATGCTTTCGTTCCAGCGATGGGGGGAGGGCCTTGTCTGGGTCGTCGGCACCCATGCCAGTCCGGAGGTTCAGGGAACCCCTGACGAGAGAAATGTACAGGCGCCGTGGGAGGACTGCGACAAACCGCCGTGTTTGGCCACTTGGGCATCAAACTGTTGCGAGCTTGGGGCAGAAGGGCCACCGTGTCAGCCATTTGCATTTCGAGATCGGACAAGTCCAAGGACGGGGGGTGCTCGCCCGCGGAATCTCGACGGGACGGTGCATTCTGATGCTAACTGCCCCGGAGCAAGATTAGGCTAGTCGGCGGTTGGTCGATCCCAGAAACAAAACACAAACGTTCCCTGGGGCTTTCGATTTGTGCGTTGCCCAGATTACCGTTCCTGCAGCGGAGTAGACGCGAGCTCCCGCAAACGTGGTCGCACAGGTATGGGTGTGCCTCGTACCGCTTGCCCGTGTACCGCTGCCCGCGCTGATATTGGCGGCGGACGACATGATGCCTGTCTATCGGCCAGAGCACCACAGCCAGATCCAGCGAGTCAGGAGCGGTGAGGGGAAAGGGGGTTGTAGAGTGACAGCCTCATCGTGCAGGTCAGCTCAGGCATGTCTAGCGATACTGAGTCCAAAGAAAAACAAGGCCACGTATTGGTCAGTGCATTGTTTCAGGGGAAATGAACCAGGTAGAGAGTAGATGAAGCCGGCGGAGGCATCTCGATGGGTGAACCATGTATTGTGTGGTCCCGAAAACTGATGCTGGCATATTTTTGTGGGAGGACAGCCCTCCCGCATCGATGGCCCATGCTGGAATTGTTCTGATGCTGGCCGTGGAATGGGAAAAAAGAAAGAGTAAAAAAAAAGCCGGACGTCATCCCAATCGGCCGTCTACTAGCCACAAAGCTTCAGATCGATCCATTGGGCGCCTCGAGGATGCTCTCGCCCGTGCCGAGGAAGCGCTCCTCGGCCGTCTTCCAGTTGATGACGTTCCAGATGTTCTCGACATAGGCAGCCTTGCCATTGAGATACTGTTGTGGTAAGACACAGGTCAGCACGAGCATAAATAGCAGCAGTCCCATGCTGTCCCTGACGGAGACAGGCGGTATCATGGTGCTTACCTGAAGGTAGTACGCATGCTCCCACATGTCGACGCCAAGCACGGGAATCTCGCCCCCCACAACCGGGTCCTGGTCCTTAGTGGTGATAATGCGGAGGCTCGCACCTTCCTTGACGAGCCATCCCCAGCCGCTGCCCTGAAGGGCCAGCAGCGTGGCGGAGAAGGCCTTCTTGAAAGCGTCAAGGGTGCCCCAGGTCTTCTCGATCTCGGTCTGGAGCGACGGAGCGGCGTCGGGCTTGGTCTCTGGGGCGTCGGATGGGGACAGGTTTAGCCAGAACAGGGAGTGGTTGATGTGACCGCCGCCGTTGAACTTGATGCTGGCCTGCAGGGCGATTTGAGAAGCGATATCACCGGCTGTGACGGCAGCAACGTGGGCCTGTAGGGCGGCGTTGAGGTTGGTCACGTATGCCTGGTGGTGCTTTTCGTGGTGGAGCGTCATGATTTCTCGAGAGATGTAGGGTTCCAAGGCCTAGATGTGTGTCACTTAGGGTCAGTGCTGGCGCGACATGGATATTGGCTCGGGGAGCAGTCGGCGCAATTGGGGCAGCGCATGGGTCTACTCACATCGTAGGCGTAGGGCAACGTCGGCAGCGTATACGTCGTGATGGCCATTTTAGTGTTGTTGAGCTGGTCGCCCGACAGCATCTGCTGTGTGGCAGCGAGGTAGCCCTGCAGCACGTTGCCAAAGTTGACCATGGCTGCGATTGTGTCGTGTCGTCCGGGGACAAATGATGTCGAGCGGCCAATTGAGCAGGTTTCGAGTGGCGAGATGGATGCCAAGGGAGGAGGATCCAGTCCCGTCGTCGGCTGTGGTCGCAAGAAGTCGGTCGGCGGTGGGCTGGGGAGTCAGGACTCCGCCGTCGCGTGTTTGGATGCCAGGCGGTATTTTGGCCGGTGAGACGCGCCTGTGGGGCATTTTACCGCCCAAACGTGCTCTCCTGACCGCCAAGCCCTCAGACCCTGGTTTGTTCGAGGCCCTTACGTCGGAACTCAAGGCGTTGAAGTCAGAACTCGATGCACCAAAGTCGGAACCTGATGCCCCAAAGTCGGAACTCGAGTCCCTAAAGTCGGCGGAGGCATCTCGAGTTCTTGACCACCGCCCGCTCGTCCGTCCGTTTTGATGACAATCGCCGCTCCATGTCCATAGATGGATGATTGTCCCGTGCCCAAATTTGCGTCTCTACTCTGCTTCATTGTCTCGTGTCCGAGTCGATGAATTACCGGACAGCTCCACGCGGTGGCATAGAGTACGACTTTTGCTGTCCTCCTCTTTGGCAGAGCCCTAGCTCGGGACACCGCAGATGTCAGAACAGGGTCGGTTTTTCCATCCGTTAGCTCCTCAGTCCGGAGACCAGATCATTGCCAACTAACCAACAGCGCACGAGCCCTACTGCGATTGATTGTGAGTGGACACAACCAAAGTAGCTTTGACACGCGCGACTGTGGTGATCATCCTGCCCACCTGTTGCCAGGCCCACCGGGAACTTCAGATCCAGGAAGGATTCCTTTTTTAAAGTGCTGAGGTCCACTCAAGGGCATGGTGCTCCCTACTGGGAGCGCTTGGCGCGGGCGGCGGACGCGTCAGTCGGCCGAGCAAAGCTCGGAACGGGCCGGGCCGGGCGAGTTGTGGGGCCGGGGGGGGGGGGTTGGTGTAGTGGAGGGGGCCGCGGCGAGCTGGGGGACGGCGGCGGGAGGGGCGTCAGCGGCGGCGGCGAGCTCCGGGACGGCGGCGGGAGGGGCGGCGGCGGCGACGGCGGCGAGTATGGACTCGAGTCCAGCAACGATCTCGGCGTCGGCATCTTTTCCTCGGGGTCCGGGGTCGCCCTTGTCGCCGTCATCGCCCTTGTCGCCCTTGTCGCCCGGCGGGCCCGCCGATCCTGCCGGTCCCTCTGGGCCCTCTGGACCCTCGGAGCCTTGGCGAGGGTGTTTGTATATATAAATAGTGCAGGCGATGGCGGCGATGGCGACGAGGACGGAGGCACCGGTAAGAATTATAGTGATGAAGGCCGACTAGTCCGAGGAGATCGGCGCGGTCTTGGTGAGGGTAGGAGTCGACGACATGACTTTTTCAATTCGAATTTTCAACAAACACACGAAAAGGGGCATCTGAACTTTCGACGAAGAAGCAAAAGAAAAGACAGAGAGCGGACGGAGGACACAAGCAAGATATCTACCGAACGTCACTCCTCGCTCCTTACCTCCAGCTCCGGCCAGACAAGAAGAGAGGCAGCTCCGGTCAGACTAGAAGAGAGGATAGTGCCTACCTTGTACATAACCCTGGCATCTGCCGAGTTACCACCTTCCACATGGATCCTGCGCCCCCGCAAACGAAGGCGGGAGGAGGCAGCTTGGTGGCCCTGCCACCACCGATCAGCCCCTGAGGCGTGACCCAGTTCGACTGGATGGGATGGATATGTATCTAGCTTAGCCTAGTCGCGTCCATACGGCTTCGAAGGCTTTTGGAGAAGGGGGGGCCTTCGGCCCTCACCCCTCTGGACGTTAATTGAAACTACAACAACAAACTTCCACATGGACGACACTCTCCTGCTAGCCTCACGTCCCTGAAAGATATATACCGTTACACATCCGAAAGTACACCCGGTGGCTTTTAGACACGGAACCCGCACGCTTTTCCAAAGAGACTCGATGCTTTATTTAGGAGCTCTGCCTAGGTATGTAAAGTTAAGGGGTCAAGTAGACTCCAACCCTAGTTTGTTTGTTAGCGCGAAATATAAGGGATACGAACTAAGGCTATCTAATAGTTAATGGAGGCCCTGAAGTTGGAACTCAAGGCTTAAAGTCCTATCAAAGATGCGTCGCTCTTCCTTAACAAAGCCTGGCCGGTATAAATATCAAGTCAGGGTTGGATTATATAGAACAGTCCAGGGGGTTAAGTTCTTCCGCAGGCATTTGCTCCTTTCTTATTTAAGGACTAGCGGAGTCCAAGCGAGCCCCTATTCGATTGTTTACATTGCTACGCCACCTTAATTCCCCCTTGTGAGCTTAACCTATCGCCCGGCGCGGGAAGGGAGGGCAGCATGGCAAAACATAGCGATGAATAAACTCTTAATCAAATTTTCTAAGATGTTAACTCCCGTGTTGATGACGAAGGAGACGCTCTAGCGGTTCAAGTATGATCCGCAACTAGAGCAAAGTGAAAAGCTGGAGAAGGCATTCCAGTGAACTTATTTGGTGGGTTGAGAAACAGAAGTTCAAAAACAGGACAGCTAACAAAAGAAAGGACGAAAAGGAAATGAATAAGAAGCAAAAGGTAAAAATGATTGCGACGTGTGAGGCTCGAACTCACGACCTTTGGATTACTCTAGTGTTAAACCTAATCATACTGCATATGAGACCAACGCTCTACCAACTGAGCCAACATCGCAGATCCTTGATTGGATGCATGGGTCAGCCATTATGCCTACCTATGAAGCGTTACGGAATGCACAAAAGTTCAGCAGAATCGTCGAAAAGGTCTCGCATCTGCGTTTTCTTTCATGAGCACGCAGCAAAATGACAGCAAGACAAAAGGCAGCTACTCGAAGCCTAAGCTAGCCCGTCTCCAGCAACATCCTCTCAAACCCCCCTATTCGCACAAGAAAAGACACTCCCAACTGTCCCAGCCTCGAACGCGTCAGTAATCCCCACGACACTGACGTAGGTTCCTGCAGTCAGGAAGAACAGCCCAATGAGAATGATGACGACATTAGATCCAGCCACAAAGTACCCCCACAGGCTGTGATCCTGGACAAGCGCCAGCTTGCCGTCTGCCCTGCGCATGCGAAAGTAGGCGACACCCCAGAAGATGAAGCCAAAGAAGCTATCAAACAGCGAGGACATCAACGAGAGGACTGCAGATCTGTAAGCGTTTCTTGCGTTGGCCGTAAATGATGAGTGGACTTACGGTAAGAGAAGAAGGGAATGACCTCTGCGATGACGAAGGCAAGAACCCAGGTTGCCACTGTGTTTGTGTCAGAAGGTTGCCGCTGGACGCCCGGATTGTCTAGAAGGGGTCGACTTACACAGAATGGCGGTCCACGTGGCCCAGCCGGTGACGGTATGCTCGGTGCGGTGGCGCGAGTTCTGGAAGATGCGGAAGAAGATGAAGCGCGCCGACACTGACGCGTAGAGGACTCCCAAGAAAATGATGGTGGGTATCATGAACGAGAATGCAACCTTTTTGTAGACTGGAATGAGAGAGCCAAAAGCAGGTGCTGTCATGTACTGGTTTCCAGTGTAGGCATAGACGACGCCACCGACGATGCTGAACACAATGATCTCGGCGATTGTGCACGCCCAAAGGGCCTTGGGGAAGTCCCTGACTGGGTTAATCATGGATCGCAGCTAGTTGGGGCAAGTACTGACCGTGGATCCTCCATCTCTGCGATGAAGCTTGGAAGTGTGATCTGACCGATAAAGGTGTATGAGATGTTGAGGAACGCGTTGAGCGCAGCGACAAATGTGGTTCCGGCAACAGGGAGAGCGGTGACGATGGGGCTCCCACCGATCGCCGTCAAGCCAGCAGGCGTGGTGTAGGTCTCCCGTGGGTCGTAACCAACAGGCAGCTTTTCGACTCCGGCAAATACTGCCGCCAAAAGGACAGATATGAAAGTGAAAATGGCGGAAAATGTCCCGATTTTGGACAGGGTGCTAAAGGTTCGAGGAACGGAACAGAGCCAGCAGACGAGCATTGTAACGACCGAGTACACGACCGTGCGGCATCCCGTGTCGCTTGGGGCCATCGTATCGAGATACTTGGACCCTACTAGAACATGCAGTGCCTGGAGCACTGTCAGCAACTCCCACCGTGGATCCTCGCTTCTGGACATACCTGGATAAACTGCGAAGGGGTTAGCCTTGCCATGGGGCTGAACTTGGAAGGATACTGACTGTGTTGTTCAAGAGAAACATGAAGGCGGTAGCGTACCAAGCCCACTTCTTCCCCCAGAATAGCATCTGCCCAATGTCGCAGATATCGCGAACTTCAGGGTGCCGCAGGCAAAACTCCCAAAGAACCAGCGAGCTGAAGGGGGCAGTCAGCACCATGACATGTTGAGTCGACAATGAGACTCACGTATATAGCACGATACCCGCAACAAACACTGTGAGAATGAGTCTGATTTCGAGTGTCAGTATTCCGGCGGAGGTAAAGGGGTAGTTCGAATTTGGGGGTAACCAACCCGGGCACGAGTCCAAGAATACTGTACGACCAAGGGAAGCTCATGATGGCCTTGGATAGATTGTCAGTGAGTCTCCGGCTCGTGTCAGAATTAAATATGGCATCTCGTGGAGATACTTACCAGACAAATGTACTCGGAAAAAAGCAAGGCGGCAGTCTTGGGGCGGCAAGCGTCAGCCATGATTCATGATGGATGGATTGGTAGACGCGAGCACATACCTTTTGCCAGCTGCAAGTGCGATACTTGATGGCATGGCCTGCTTCGATCTCGATCTGCTTCGCAAGAATGGCAGAGCTGGTCTCATCGCCGCTCGAGTTATCGAGGTCGATGCCCTCCAGAACCGGGGCGATTCGGGGACCAACCCACACGCCCTTGCCCCCGAACCATGAGGAGAAATATGGCGAGGTGGTCGTGGCTTGCGCTTCGTCTTGGTTTGTTCTCACATACTTGTCGTCCCCGTACTGCTTCTTCTCTTCGGTGGATGTCATGACGAAATGAGGAGCCGATTTTCAACGCTTCGAGGGATGGTCAGACTGGCCGCTGATACCAACCGCGGGGAATTTTTGCTGAAACCCCAGGAGGACGGTAAAGGTACGATGAAGAATTTGCGCAACGGAAATATCTCTTATCCCAGGGGATATTTGTTGAAGAGAAGTAGCAACCTGCCACTGATGCTGGCATCAGACCCGCAGCTGTGGAGCGGTACAGCTGTTAGGATTCGGAACCCGGCGTGGAGGCAAAAATGGTCAAATGGCTCAGCAAAAAGATGCAAGAGTCCGGTTGCCCAGTGTAAACAAGAGGAAAAGAGGGCGCTTTTCACCACCAAGAAGCAGAACGACCTGAACGTCTTGAGCGGCAATTTCGATGGCACAATCCCCTGCTACAATGACGCAAACTTCGGAGAGCATTGGGACGGCCCCTCATACCAAACCACCGAGCCTTCGTTGACATGCAGCAACGCCGTTTTTGCCATTTGGACCCCCACAACGACACGGCAGGACCCATGTGAAGGATTCCCAGGCGGGGGTGACGAACCAGAGAGTGGTGAGTGGATGTCAAGCCGTAAATGCTGGGAGGGGGGGCCTTGTCCTGATTAGGAAAACGTGCTAGCTTTCCAAGAAAGCTTGTGGGGGACAAGCATTTGGCCGCTCGAAGCTTATTCGCTTGGTCCTTGGAAGGATGCATGACACTAGTAGGCCTTCCTTCGATCCCCGTGCCATGTAAATCTGTTCGCGGTCGCTGCTAGGGAGAGAGAATCGCCCCAGAGCTCTCTCAAGCTGCCTCGGATGCCATCCGCGAACCTCGGGCATTTTGGCCAATTTGAAATAGACACCGTGTACAGCGGGATCGGGATCAACACCCGAATCGTAAGGGGGAAGCCGAGCAGAGGCAAAGTTGAGACCTAAGGCGAGAGATTGGGCGGAAACGTCGCTATCAAGCAGTGTCCGGAAAAGTTCGCCCGAGGGGTGGGACCTGTCAGCGCAATGTGTCAGCGCCGAAAAGTTGGGTTGGATTGTATTGAGTGGTGTGCTGCGCTGTTGCAGGTTGCAGAACAGAACCTCTGTCGGAGTGTTCCGCACAACGAAACAGCATCTCCTACCAAGAAACAGCCAAGACTTGTTTCCAGGCAGGGGTCGCGCGGACACGTGATCTCGCACCACGACTCCCTCCGGGACTCGGCATCAGGGCGGTGCAGAGATCGCCCCACCACCAGCCACGCTTCAGCCAAGAAATGGAGCCTCGCCAGCCTCTCGATTTCTCCTCGTCCCACACAAATGGGAGGGCTTCACTGCTGCGCGCTGGCGCGGCCACGTCGACCACCATGACTGTCGCAGCCCAGTCACTTGGCTGCCTCTTGCGCATATATACGCTGCTCTGGGGCTGAAAGTTACCCAATCTTTATCGGTTCCCTCAAGCCTCCACGATGCCCATCTTCCCCAATACGCCCGAGGCCCTCGCCGTCAACCGCACCGACTCCAAGAACCCCGCGACGACATGTAGGGGAATCACATCCAGCGGCAGGCCGTGCAGGCGCCCTGTTACCGCCACAGGCACCCCGCCGCGCACACGAGGCAACCTCCGAATTGACGATCCAAGCGACGAGAATTTGTACTGCTGGCAGCACAAAGAGCAAGCGAGTCTCTCGGCGAAATCGAGTCCAGGTCCGAGGACAAAACATACGCCAATATTGGAGGAACGAACCAGCATAGACACGCTGGCGGACCGCCTCGGTCTCATGACAACCAAATCGGAGAAGACATCGAAGCAATATGGCGTAAGGCCAGGCATTCAGCGCCCAACCAAGATGGTGCGCCCGAAAACAAAAAAGAACTCGGAGCTTCACCTTTGCTGCTTCCGGATCCCGCTCGAGGAGGCTCCGTCGCCACCCCCCAGGCCAAAACCGCATCCCATCCAGCCAACCGTATCCTCGGTGCCGGTTGGCGCCGGGGGGAAGAACTCGAAGAACACATACGCAACTCCATCCCCATCTCCGTCGCGACCCCGGCCTAGCCATTCGGGCCAGGGCAGCGGCCGCCGACACGGATCCAATGCTTCCCAGACAGTCCAGTACATGGCATTGATACCCCCAAGCGCGTCGCCCCAGACCGCATCGTCGTTGTTGGCAGAACTCGCCAAGCCCATCTCGCAGCAGGACGAGGCGGGGTACATTTATATTTTCTGGCTGACTTCCGAGACCCAACCATCGGCACCGCCAGCAGAAGCCGCCCGATCCCTGCTCTCTCCGCCTACGCCAACAAGACCCTCCAACGGCCGACGTCCGAGCGACGTGTTGGACATGTTTGGTTCCCAGACGACCAGCCGGAGTCCCGGGGCTTCTGGAAACGGAAAGAAGAAGATTCTGCTCAAAATTGGCCGAGCGACCAATGTGCAACGTCGGCTCAATGAATGGCAGCGACAGTGCGGGTACAACCTGTCACTGATTAGGTACTATCCCTATATCCCGTCAGCCAGCCCGGCCGCCGTCCCCCGGAAGATTCCACATAGTCACAAGGTCGAGCGGCTTGTGCACATTGAGCTCACGGGCCGCGGGATGCGGGTTGCCGATCGAGAAAAATGCTCTACATGCGGGAGGGAACACCGCGAATGGTTCGAAGTCGAAGCATCGCGAAAAGGGGTGGCTGAGGTGGACGAAGTCGTCCGCAGGTGGTCCGACTGGAACGAAGGGCAGGCTTAGGAAGTCTGG